TTTTTTTTTTTTACAATAGAAATAAATTTATAACAAACTGTAAAAAAAAAAAAAAAAATTTACACTAAATTTTGATGAAAAAATTGTGAAAAATTAGTTTTTGAGCAATTTTTTTTAACTTTTTGGCAATGGTAACAAATTTCATAACTAATTGTGAAAAAAAAAAATTCACTTTAATGGACAATTTCCATGTAAAATAAAATCAAACGTGAACAAAAAGATCCAAAATTTCAAAAATTTTCTGAGTGGAATATTATACCAATCAAACACACTTAATTAACAATTCCCTGGAAAACAAGTTTTAGGCAATTACTTTTTCTGAAATTCGTTTTCTTTCCACCAATTTCCCACCATTGCAATCAATTGGACCCTTATATCCAAGAACAAATAAAGATGGAACAAAAGGCCCCAAATGCATGTATTTTTTTTCCCATCTATTGTTCCATTCGGTACGAATTAAATCCAAATTTTAGTTAAAGACAACAATTAATTTTAACTATATATTTTATGGGTTCTACGATTTTTTAACCACATATTCTGTCAACTTTTATCAAAATCTACTAAAAATTAATTTTATTCTCCACCATACAAGGACTAATCTCAGAAGATATTTTGCACAATTCCGTCATGAGATCGTGTATTATTGATACTAAAAATTATTAAAATAGACTTGATATTTTTATTTGATCACTGGAGGACCTACAAGACATCACCGTTGTCTGTAGGGCTTTAGGATAACGATGCCAAAAAGACGAGCTTGAGAGTATAGTCAGCTCGGTCTTCAAACAAAGGAGCATTGTCGATCCATTTTCGACAATTATGTCAGCTTAATTTCTGTAGAAAGACTATAGCTGAGAATGTCTCATACCTGACTTTGATGCCAATTTAATCTCCTATGAACTTGTTCGCTATTGTTTTGAATAATGAATTTTTGAAAAATCTGCAGTTAAAAAGTAGAGAAATTTTTTTGATTTACGTATAGAATATTTTATTGTTTGAATATATGGTTGAAAATTATTGTTTAGAAAAAGGGATTTTGATAGAATGAGATACAAACATGGTCATAATATCACGCATAAGATAACCTGATTGGCGAGAGTTCGACGACATAGACCATTATGTGTTTATTAAGATTGAACACAAAAAATATAAATAATTCTAAAGGGAACTTATCGTCTAACTTTCGACTTCCAAACATTGTAAAAAGAAAATGCAATATTAACAATTTCTAAACTGATTTTTATTAAATATACTTGAATAGCGCTATTTAACATCATTAGTGTTCTGCACCAATTTATGTGGTAATAGGACCACGGTGACATTGTTTAATAAAGTTACATTGCATTTTTATACACATTTGACAATGGTGGTGATCCACTATCATGTAAACTAGGTTTTTTTAGTATGAACAAACTGTCAATAACTAGGTTTTCTAGGGTTCATTCATCCACGCCCAGCCCAAAATAACGGGGCTTGTAACAAGCTTGTATAAAATTTCTCACATGAAATGTAGTTTTCAAATCATGGTATTATAAATCAAATTTTGGATTATATGCATGTCGGGTGTTGTAAGAAGTAATAAAATTTTCATAGCATTCACAAGAAAGTAGCAAAAGATAAGTTGAATTCATTCTATAACCTATATCCTTGACAAAGGTTTTAACGTCTGGTTCATTTTCAATGAATTTTAACATCTCGTTTACTGCTTTAATCTTCATCATTTATTTTCACTGTTAGGAAAGTAATACTTCCTCATTTATTACTTTCAATTTTTTTATGTAACCACGATATTTCTCCGCCACATGTTAGGGCAGATTAATAAAATTTCGGATGTACCGTCCTCCTTTAACAAAAAAAGAAGTCAAGATGTAAATAATAAAACACCGATATATTTATTTAAATAATTTATTATTCAATTATTTTTTATGGTATACAGCAATAGAATTCAAATGAAAAGCATTTATAAACTAGCGTTCGAACCTAGGTTGGAAATATTGCCTTTTGAACTTAATGACATGTTTGCTTTACACTATACAAGCTGATATTCACCACTAGCTACGAATTATTACCATACCTTCATTAATTGCCTATTGTGAATGTGGGTAGTGCTATGTGTACACCTTGTGGTGTGCACAATCTTTTACGTTCCTCTCACATGGAGGGGGGACCACACACAATAAAATATTTGTGGGTCCCCCTCCATGTGAGGGGGGTGTAAAAGATTGTGTATACCACAAGGTGTACACATAGAATAATCCATTGTGAATACACCCAATTGGTAAGTACCAAAATAGAACTTGCACCACTGGGTGAATCAAATTGGAGTTGAGATTGATTAGGATCCAAAATTTCGTGTTTGATCGAACATTTTTTGTAGTACCCGTTTAGGTGGGTCATTCAACTCTGTTTTGTCGAGCTAATTTTTCCTTACAATATTCATATTTTGCTTTGTAATTTGGCTTTTCGTTTACTATTCATGTTACCACCAGTTTGAAATATTCCCAACACTTAACAATTTATTTTTTGTTCTTACTGCTTAAAACTATTAACACATTTCTTCTTCTTCAGTATAATCTAAATGAATTAGATTAGTGCGCTCATGCTCATGTTCATGTTCATAGCCCAAATTATCGAAAATTGAAATGTCACTAAGATCTCTAAAATCGTGAGTATGAGCCGGAGCACTTTCTGGTGTGTTGGAGGCATCATACATTTCGTC